CCTAATAGTTGTTGTGGAAGACGGTTTTACGAGCGGAGCAGAAAAACAACTTTAAGGGCTTTCAGAAGCATAAGAAACAAAACCAAAGGGCAATGCTGCAGGAAATGCCTGAGGTCCAGCAGACAAAATAATGTGTGTTATTAGACACCAGGAACGTTTCACATGGGATTTCCAACTTGTATAAGATTCCAGTGTGAAAAAGCACCTGCTCATTTCTCTGGCATCTGGTGAAAGCTCGGCAGCAGGCACAGGCTCTCTGTACCTCTCCACTGCCTCTTATCTCCCTGGAGATAGATTTGAGCCAAATTTTACTAGAAAACCATGCCAAAGGGGATTTTTGAGAGGGCAGCCAGCCTATAACCTGTCTCTGTGGCAGCGTCAATTCAGCCTGTTTTTCTTGATTGTCCAAATTGCTTTTGGGAATCCTACAGACAACCAACCACTTGGCAGTAATTTCTCTCGGTCCCTCAAAATGGTCCCAAGGCTGCAGCCCAACTCAATCTGCAGTGCTTCTTTTGGTAAAAGCTGAGCAGCATAAGCAGAGCCACAAGCAGAGACGGGACCCACTTTCCTTCATGAGTGGACACTGCTGTCTGTGGCTGCCAGTCAATTACCATCTACATTAATCAGATTTTTTAATTTAAAGGGATGATGGTCAAGACCAGTGATGGTACGACTCTTTGCCTTTCTTAGCAGATCCCTCTAGAAGTTCTCTCCTAATACCTCTTGCCAGCAGAGAAGTCCCAGGATACTGTTTCATAGAATCATTTAGGTTGGAAAGGACCTTTAAGATCATCAAATTCAAAAAATAACCAAGTTTCAAAAAATAATGAAATGCCTACATCAATTCAGAAACCTTCATGTACTTTAGTCCAAGTTTTTAGCTGAGAACTGTTGTAGCCTTACATTTTCCAAACCCACAATTGTACCTCATAGTCAGTTATTCATGAGCACACACTTCTGGAAATCATGACTAACCCAACAGTCTCATGCCCAGCTAAAAAAAATCATCACCGGGGAGAAGTAAACTTCCAGACTTGCAGTAAAGTGCCTTTTCGCTTGAGATTGCTATCTGTAAAGTGTAAAGGCAAATCCTTACCTTAAATGAACTGACAGATGTGCTGGACTTGTTGGTGTACAAATGATGTTATAGGATGTATGAGCAGTACAGAAGTGGGATCATAAGGAAGAAGAGACTAAAAATCGCTCAATTAGGAATAAAACAAGCCTATGGCACTGGAAAGGATATGGAGTCCACTTCTCTATTATGGGCTGATTTCAGTTTAGCAGAGTAGGAAGGATGGCTGGGGGTGTAGCACCTCATACATGCCTTCTGCTTGCTGCTTCATCTTGCTCTGAAACAGATGGTGCTGGCCAGAGCCATAAATAAGATGTTGGCCTTGGCATGAAGCCGCGTCTGATTTGTCCTGGCCTTTCCCCTGGTTCTGCGGGACAGGATGTCATGGCGAGTGGGGTAAGATCTGACATCAGCATCACCGAGAAGCAGACCATCAGGCCACTGCTGGAAGGCTGACACGTCACTGTTGCCTTGCAGCAGGATGGGACCGGATTAGGTAGTACCAGCAAAAGGTGCTGTAACCAACTCAGTTATTCTGCGTCCTTCCATAGTTCTAAATGAAGATGAAATTGCCACCACAAGGATGGTGGCACATGATTCACAGAGTACTCGGAAGCACTAGAAGTGGGTTTTGTGGTTTTTTTAAGGACCACTCTTGCTCCCACTGCTAACAGCTAATAAACGTTTGCATAGCAGGCAAATTCCAGACAGTGAAAGTTAATGTTCTGCAAACGTTCAAATAAGGCAAGTAGAATAACTACCATGATTACTAGACACTTAGCTTTACCTCAATGTAAAGCATGTTAAAGGAAAAAGAGATTACTAAGTACGGACGATGAATGCCTTTCACCTTGGGAAGATAAACCACCCCTTCAGAGAAATAAATTGGTGTAAACAGGCATGGGCAAAACAGGTCTATCTTAAATGTATCAAAAATCTCAAAAACTGATTGTGTTTGAACTACCTGGAAATGTCCTCACTTTGGTTGGAGGTCTTGCAGGGACATCACTTGCAATGCAAAGCATTTTAAATAAAAGTCTGTGCTTCCTGTAAGGACTTAAATAAAGCACAAGTCTAAAATATGATACATTATTGACTAAATTACTGATCAAAATATAAAATAGTTATCAGCTACCAGCATATCTTCTTAGACTATCCCACTAGGCATTTTTTGTAGTTATATGTTGACTACCATCCGTTTTCAGAATGCTTTTCCGTGTCAATTTGGTCCTATTCCATTGGTCTGTACCATCATTAGCAGAACAGACCTGCTTAGAGAGACGGACGCTGCAATAAAACCAGCTGAAGGAGGAAGTCATCAGTGTCCTTGTGTAGCCGTTTATGACCATCGAGAGCAGATGCATCCAAAAACCCCAGCTGACTTAGCAGCACTCCAGTCTCTTTGTGCTTCACGTAAAGTAACAGCACACGGTAGAAGAACAGTGAGATCCAAGTGCAGGTTGTGCTTGCCCAGCAAGATCTTTATCTGGCACCTGTCAGCTGCTCCAGCTGAATTCCTTCAGTGCAGTCATGCTGCAGTGTGGAGGACGCTCCAAAGCAATTCAACAATTGGCTCGACCTCGACTGTTTACCTGCTGGGCTTCCCCAGCACTCAGGAAATCTTTTGACAGTATCGGGCAGGTGTACTTTATCTGCAATGGTAAAAAACCTGACTGCAAAGCTCTCTCCCAAAACAGACTTTGGGAGCCAAGCCGCTGCATCTGTGTGCTCCAGCAAGCAGCTGCTGTTGCTGCTCTAGAAGCTAACACTGAACGATACCGAACTTTTCACTGCCGGTCTCAGAGAAATCCTCCCTGATTTTTTTTGTGGACATCACAGCACGCTCATACTTGCGTGTCACAGCTGATGTATCTTTCTGGGTGAACGACTCTCCCACTCTTGAGAACTTGGAATTCTGAAGTCAAAACGGTTGCTTTCATTTAAGACCTCCTGCTGGTATGTGCCACAAAGCAGACTTTGTGTCTAGAAACTTGTGAGAACAGCTACAGTCTCAAGTTCAAAACTGGTTTTTTCCTCCCTAGTCTCCCAGGGAATAGTGAGAGGAAGAGATCTGAGAAGAGTATGTGGAAAGCTTGGAAAACCCCTGGTGTCCCATTAAACAGATATTTCAAGTTACTTGACTAAAGTGTTCTGTCTCTCAGCAAGGCACTTTTGTCCACCAGTCAGTTTTACATTTTCAGTTTAATTGTTAGCACCAACCCTGCCAACTGAAACAAGAGCCAGGACCACAAAGATACCTTGAAAATACTCAGGCTTTCAGATAAGGCCAAGTGAGATTTCCCTTAAAAATCAATGGCCCCTGGGTATCCAATACTTTTGTACACTTGAAACTCTCAGCCCTACATCACATGCAGCACCTAGAGAAAGTGCCACTTCTTACAGTAGGTGAGTGATCTTCAAGGGATCCTCTACATTCACGGAGTGCCTAAGAAACCTGAGATGGGTCACTAGGTCTAGAGCAGCCTAATCAAATCTCTGGTGTCCGAGTTAGATCTACTGCAGTTTGATTCTTCTGGGATATGGCATTGACATTGGCACCACTCAAATTCAAACTCAGGTACTGTGTTATACCACCTATTCTAACAACAGCAAGTAACTGAAAGGGATTTGATACCTTATCTGACAGTTTGCCTAGCCTTCTCCTATCCTAGCATTACTGAGAAGTAAGATTCTGCTTTCCAGTATGCAATTATTTCCACTGACTTCATGTGCGTAATGACATAGTCCAGCTGCCCTCACAATTTGACCCAAATGTGAAGGAATGAATTATGTCCTCTCATAAAAACAACGTGCAATGAGCTGCATGCAGAAAATTTAGCAGAAAGTTATTTGATAGTTGCCAAATAACATTTTTTTAAACAAATACTACTGTCTAACTTGCTTTAACAGAGCTTGAATAATGACCCCTTAGTTATGTGAGCAAACAGCACAGAATGGTCACCAGTGCCAGGAGAAACTAAAGCGTGCGAAGAGCAACACCCTCTGCCAAACCACTGTAAAGTACACATAAAAAGAGATATTCAGAGAAACGTTAGTGATATGTCAGCAGAATTACTAGCTGGGTAGGCTACATAAGAAGTGAGCACTGTTTGACCTTGAAAGTTGCCTTTCTGTTCTTTCTTGCATTTCAAAAACCTGGAGGACTAAATACCACTATTTCCGAACATCAGTTGTTTCAGCAAGAGAAGTTCAAAGAAGTAGGAAGCTTTATTGCATACCTATTTCTCCCTGCCTAGAGGTTCAGCTTTTGGCCTAGAAAGATCACAGAGAGGGCCTCAATTCATTCCAGTTACAGAAAATACCAATTATTCTTATGATTAAAGAGAATGCACAACAGAGAGATCGGCAGTCAAAGCAAGGCAGTGCTTCTGGAGCTCATGTCCTGTTAAGAATACCCATTTCAAACAGTGTACCATTGTGCAGTTGCTGGCTTCCATATCTGCATTTACCACAGGTAAAAGTTATGAATCAACATGCCGACTGAAAACCGAGTTATTATCAACGCTGTCTCTCCCCATTATACAAACAGCAGCATAACAGGGCCAGTAAGACCACCTACAGTAACCACGGGGCTGGAGCAGCAAGGTGTCTTCTCAGTTCGAAGGGTCAGCCATTCCCCAGGCTTTCCCTCCCCTTTCATATTCACCTAGACAGTTCCTTCAGCAGTTCCTTCATGTCACTGGCCTCTAGCCTGTTAGACTTACAAATCAAGAATCACAAAGTAATACAGTAGAAAATTAAGTCCTTCGCATCTGCAACAATGTGTAGGTTGCCACTCGGTCTATGCTCTCAGGCCGAGGACTTAATACTTAATGTAAGAGATTCCCACCCCCCACCCAGTTGGAATCCTTTGCTCAAGTTTTTTTTAGACACAGAAAGAGAATGTTTGTCTCCAAACTTAGGAAAGAATCAGGTGTAATAGGAATCCAGTGGACCACCTTCTTTAAAGGGAACACAAAACTGTGTGGAAAAAGACTGTCCATTCCTTGGCTGACTCGGAATTTCCTACGTGATGTCCTTCTTTCTTGGGGGCCGGTGAATATTCCTCACCACGCACTTCACCATCCATTCAATTCCCTCGTTCACTCCTTTGCTAAGGAAATAAGATAAGTAGACAAGATTCAAAAAAAATTTTTAAAAAGAATCAACAACCAACCAAGAACAAAACCATGGCTCATGTAGTCCCAGACTGAGTCCTTACAACAGCAAGTGAAGGTTCTGCCCTGCAGTTACCTAACGGCATCACTATGTTAGTTTCTCATACATGCAAACAATGGGGATCTGATTTAACTCAGCATGTAAACTTTCTGGTGTCTGTACAAGTCTACATCCAATTTAGTTAGTCATCAACTCTGTGGAAACCTTGGGATGAACAAGCATCGAACCACTTCACAGCTGGTTTGAGGTTATTTTGCTACAAGCCTCATGCTAGTTGTATCAGATCTTCCAATCCTGGCTCCAACTTTCTGTATTCATCTGTGCTGGGCCTGCCAGGCAAGTCACCAATTCACTGGTCTGCACAGCTTCCCAGCCAGGACTTCCACAATTTATTTATTTTTTTTAGTGCAAACTCAAACTGAAATTTTGAAAGGAAATTCCACACAGATCAAAACTAGAAGTGTTTTGTACAAACCCACAACAATTGAAAAGGTTGTATTTCATAAGATCATTATCTAATACTTCTCTTCCAGTCAGTGCTTAACCATTGTTCTCGTTCTTGTGGTCATTCATCTGCTTAATGGCATTTGATTCTTAGCAATGCAAACAACAGATTTTTTTTCCTCATGGTTTAAGAAGCTTTGCTTATCCTTTGCAGTAGCTTGTATAATAATACAGATTTCTTGCTAAATTAAAAGAAGAAATCTCAAAGCTCTGGACTCAGTACAGGAGTATTTCTAGCCATCTGGAACAGTACTTTGGACTTCTGCCAAATAGCACTTTTCACTCAAAGAACAGAGAGAGTAACCAAAGTATTGCAAGACTCAATGTGCAATAGTGCCTCTAAGATATTAAAAATCTAATGGGTTGGTCAAGGTCGTGGCGTGCAGCTGTGTCGGCCTCAAGAAGAATCACAGTCTTTCAAATTTTGGTCTGTTCTAGTCATTGTATCCTAAACCACAGGCATCCCCAGTGTAAGAACACTCTTGGAGATTGTTGTGTTATCTATGTAACAAAGCCCATCTGCATGCCAAAAATAGGAAAGCAAGAGCATAATTACACTGCCAACAACGGAACACCACGCATTTCTCTGGCAGTATCATAAACAGCTATATTTTCAACTGACTTTTACAGAAAAGCCAGGAGCTGCAGCAAGCCAACGACTGCAAAGGTTATTGTGTAGGGAGAAGGGATGATGAAGGACAAGAATCAAGAGCTCCATATGCCCCCAAGTCCCATTGCTCTCAGCCAGTAGCACATTTTCATCGTGTTTCATGAAGTTACTGACCTGGTGCAAGCCTAAGGTTCACAAACAGGTATCTGTCACTGATGGGAAGGAAGCGCAGCTCCCTTTCCGGCGTTACTAAATCCTATAGTACTGTTCTGCTTGTGTGACACCCTGCAGCTGTTCAGTTAACCAAAACACCATCCATTCTCATACTTACCCAGTAAGAGCAGAGCAGGCTTGTGTCAGGCAGTCTCTCTTCCCAATTTTGTTAATGCAGTCACTAAATGCTGTCTTGATGTCAGGTATCGACAGACAAGTCTGCAAGTGAAACCAAAGAAGAGCTTGCTTTCCATGCAAGAAGAGATGTTGACCTTCTTCCAAAAGGAATCCTACTTCTCCAGTTCTGCTTCAGTCAGGATGGCACAATGCTGTTAGGTTAAACCCCCTCACCCACCAACACAGCAAATTCACTTCTTTACGTTCCCCCCAAAATGAAGATAATAATTTTTCACCAAAGACAATGCTATTTTCAGACAGTATACACACACTGCCACACCTCCCCACTCCTCAAGATGCACACTTGTAAGCAAATGAAGTAATGAAAACAAGCACAACCCGCACACCCTCGGGATACTCCTTCCAACCTGCCCCAATCACGACACACAGGTTCTGTCTACCAGAACACTACAAAAGCCTATCTATTTACAAAGCCTTTGGAAACCCTGTACCTGCCAGAATCCCAGACAGGCCAGTTCCTGTAGCTGACTCTTTGCCAACAGCCTGGATCATGTCTCCCTACATGCGCACCCTCAGAAAAAGGCTTGGACGGGATTTTTCCGAAGTTCTCGGCGCATCCCTTGACATTAAAGGCATGGCCACCCTGGACTTGTTTGTTTGCATTTCGCATGCAGGAGAAAATGCTGACAGCACTGAATGCAGCACATTTTCTGATGCCTAGTGTCACGTTGTTCTTGACCACCGCCAGGTCTTGCACTTCTGTAAGGCTGCTAGGAGATTGCTGGGAAGTGGTTTTAAAACACACTAATGCATACCCTGCCCCTCCCCAATAAACCAGTGGATTACTTTCCTGACATAAATCGCAGTGTTATCACAAAATTTTTATTCTTAGAGTTACAAACACAACACAAGCAAACCTGCCCTACTGAGGTCTAGACTTGCATCTTCCTCCCTGAACACAGGAAGCAGGTACAAGAAAAGTCACCAGCCTTTAAATCCTTTTCTGATCTCGGTGCTCACTTTTTCCTCAAAAGCCTTGGACAAGCCATTTAAACACTTTAGCTGGCCACAAGCCCAGCATTCTTCCTCTCTCTGCAAAGACATTTTGGACCTTCGGTGAGGCTCAAATACATGTTTGGGGCAAGCATCTACTCAAATGCCAAATCAGTCCCTTGTGAGTCTTAAGGACTAGTCCAAGTGGATGTACCCTTTGAAGGAACAGACCACCTGCGAACAGGAATTCAGTCTTCTACAAGTCTGGGCCTTAACTTAGAAGAAAGACAGAAATTAATGATACCAGCTATCCATTCTGCAAAATACTTGTTCTGGAGAAATTAAATACAGGAAACTACTGTGGGGATGACCATATGACAAATAAGCAGGTTTCAGTGCTTATAAATACAAAGAGTTCTTAAGAAATGGCTTGACAGGAGTTTAATGACACCCAATTCACCCAGTGCCCTTGAATCCAGACTTGTGATTTTACACTGTGAAGGGCCTAGAATCCATTACTTGTGCAACTTCTGATGACTGTACTTTCTTATGACCTAAGCTGCATTTCAAACTTGCAGTTTCAATCAGTGCACCAGAAACTGTATCCTCCTTCATTGCACCAAAGCCCTAACAACTTACTTCAGGATTTCTGCCAAATTAAAAACCTGCAATTCATAAAGGTCAGCTGTCACCCACAGGATAAATAGTTAAATAAGTTTAAAAAAAAAATCAAATACTAACTTTAGAGGGAGTCAGAGTGGACTTGGGAGTTGGGAGTTCATACCAGTAGGTCTGGAAGATGGGCAAGAGATTACTACCAAACAACCATTCTCTACAAGTTTGTAAAAGACGCTACTTTAGTTTTGGTATGACATTCACTGCCAAATAAGAAAGGCAGGTCCAACTGCCTCTTGATTTAAGCCAAAGCTCCAGACAAGCCAATTACCCAACAACTGGGAAGGAAGAAGAGCTGCGTGTCAGTAATTTGAGCTATTTTTCAAGTCATTACTTTCTTCCAGTAAATGAGACTTGACAGAAGGAAGGTTAAATCCCAAGGCAGCTGAAACTGAGTGAATGTTTCTTGAAATATAGTTCAAGGTTAGCAGAGTTTAATATCATAGTATAATAATTTCTCCTTTTCTGAATGAGAATATATTTTTTAATCTTTTAAAAATAAATCTGAGAAAGTGTTGAAGGTAGGAAATAACAGCACAGAGCATAGTCATGCTGTCCTTTATTTCTACTTGCACAGGCCTGTGCAAAGCAATTTGGCAACGGACTTCCCAAAAACCGCCAGCAGACCAGCACACCTGCGCATATCCAGCAGCAGAGAGAATCCATCTCCTTCACCTTGTCCATCTTTGAGGCCTTTGAGAAGTCCACTTTTCCCAGTGCAGCTTACAACCGCTGTAGCTGTTTGTTCCCCCACCTTAATCCCTTATAATCACTCCCCTTTCTCACCCTCTGGTATAACTGTGGCCTGCCCTAACTTCCACAAAGCTGTCCAGCCATTGGTCCCCACAGAAATCTGTATCAGAAGGAGTTTTGCTTCTGAGGAGACTTTGCACCATTTACATTGTTTATAGTAGGATGTCACGACATCACAACACTACACCTGTTTTGAGGAATGTCTTTTTCCCCTTGCGATGAAGTAAAGTAACACAGCAGAGGGGATACCACCACTGAACTATCAATTCAGAGACGCCCTGTTTTAGCATTCAAGGGAAAGCCGTGAACTGGAATGTCATGGATGAAGCAGATTACCCATCAGGAGTATTTGAGTTTCTCATGCTCGGGAGAAAATGTCAGCTGCAGCTTCTAAGTTCCCCTCTTTTCCACCTCCCTCTCTACATTACAAAGTATTTGTTTCCAGATGTGTTTTGTTTCTCAACTGAAACCACATAAACCAAGAGCAAACTAAGGAAGCTGGATCTGTGATCACATGAACAGTGTACCACTCCAATAACAAAATTCACAGATGACCTTTCTGGAGTGATGTTATCTACTACACATTTCAGAGGAAACCCACACAACTTGATGAATCATATTTCTACCTCAACTTGCAAAAGAATGCACCATAAACCATCTTTGCATGAAAGCTCTTCAAGGCATAGTCTGGCCAGGACTGACCTGCCTGCACAACCAAATTCCTTTTATGAAGGGTTCAGAACAGTACCACTCAAATTCAGACTCAGGAATGGTACACCTAGAAATATATCAAGCAGCAAGGCTCCATTTCTGGAGTCACCTGCAGAAATGCATGAGTGGCTGTTTTAGGCAAAAAACGTTTTCTAGCAACTGTGTAGAAAATAGATAACACTATGAGTCTTCAAACATATGCTGCTACTCACCATGATTCCCCCCATTTTCCAAAGACATGAGGAGGCTTTCCAACATTTTGGAGATTTCAAATTAAATTGCCAAAATTTATCATAAGATCAGGAAGGCAAAACTTCCTCCCAAAGACATCATACAACACCTGATTATTTTCATATGCTATTTTTTCTGCTCAGTCTTTCCAGTATTTTTAGTAGTGTTCCAAAATTAGCCATTCTTTCCTCACATTTTAACAGCTCATTGTACAGCTCAGAAATGTATAGCTTTTATAAACCTTTAAACAGCTGCATTCACATTAAAACGGCAAAAATAAATTCTTATTTCACAGCTTTTTCTACAGCAAACAGTATGTAAGCAAAACTGCCTAATATTTTCAAAAGTGGCATTCTGACTTGAAAGGAGTCCATGTGAATTATTACATATTGGACATTTAATTCCCCTACAAAGCAACAGTTCCTCTAAAAACCAAAACAAACTCAGTCCCACAACACACATTTGACCCAGTCTTTTAATTACAAAATGATCCAGTTTTGAAGGCCCTGCTAAACACAGAGCATTCTCCTGGTACAAAAAAGAAAATCATATACAGTATTGTCACAATATTAGAATTGGTATTTTGCAGTCTATGACCATATTTCATCTCCTGATATGGCCAAACACCACTCATGATTGGCAGTGCTGAGCAGATGCAATTTACCCTAGGGCAGCAGTGCTTATTAACAGCAAAATTCTCTTCTACAAGGAATTTAGCACCAGGGCCAAAAAATTCTTACACTTTATGCAATTTCAGGCATTGAGTCAGAACATTTGTTAGCTTATTGTGAGGAGTGTAAACTGAAAAAAAAATAAATCAATCTGTCAGAAGTACTACTTCTGACATATTTCACCACAAGTCTTCTGCTTGCCTTTAAGATGTATCATCATAAATTATCTTTCATCCGCAAATACCAGCAAAGTTAAGATACCACTTATCCTCCCTTATTATGATCCATATTAATGACAGAAGGATGCCAGTAAGAATTCCCCACTACAATTATATGTCTGGAGATCCAGAGCAGAAAAATCTCTACCAACAATAATCCTGTAATGTTCAATTTTCTTCCAGAGTCTTTAGTTCTGCTAGATCGGTGGAAGAGAAACAGGCCTTCTAGTTTTCTAAACCTTGCTTAAGTGAACCTGAATAATTACTGAAAAAATAAGCTCTAGTCCCTTTAACATTTTGTTAGCACTGATGTCTCTTTGTTCTGTGTCCATATCCAAGATCACACTCTAGGAGTAGACCTCTAAATATACCATCTAGGTATTTCTTAAAAATAGGTATACCTTCAGTCATTATAGTTTCGCTCATCTCTTGTCACAGTTCTACGACTGCATAAAGGCGCTAAATCTGTGGACTGGTCTTGGACCCTCCAGAAGGGGCAAGGAGTCAGTCATAGTTTTTGTCTTGAGAGCCTGTTCCAAATTCCTCGTTCTAGTCGCATAAAGTCCACTTGTTTAATCATTTTTCTTCAGTCTGGCGAGGGTGCCAGAAGAGCTGGCATTTACAGCATGCCCGTAACAAAATATGCATATACAGCCATAATGAAAACTGGAACAGTTTCCCAGATCACTGCATATAATTTATTTCTCAACAGCTAAAGGCAAGAGTGCAGACTGCTCCCTGCTGTAAAGCTGTAGTGTTGCAAGAAAATATGAGAGTTAATATTCTGGTTTCCACACAGAAAAGAGAGTCAGTTTCCCCACATACCAGAGAGCACAGTAAAGTCAGTACCATAAATCAGGAGTTCCGTCTCAATCTCACATGGTCTTTTAAGTTGAACTAAATTTCTTTTATTTCTATGACTAGATAATCTTACGATCATCCAAAAAAATCTGTTGTGTTGTACACGTGAAGGGTAACCAACTCCTCCTTTAAAGCCAAAGTGATTTCTATGGAAGTCTCAAGTATTTCCCACAAGAACACACATTGAGACAGGTGTAAAGTCCAAGGGAAGAAGCTGGGAACACTTGCACCCTTTGAAACAGATTCGGATCACAGCTGCCCGGGCTGGAACTCCAAATTTTACTGAAAGTTTCTGGCTCCATCTAGAGATTAATCACTCGAACTGCAGCGCTGGAATTCCAGGTACAATGCATGGAAAGGAGGAGGTAAACATGGAAAATACCACGACCACTTTAGGCACTCTCTTCCCTTTTTTCCATGCCAGGGGAGATTAGGACTGCCCTGGATGCGTCACCTAAACAGTCAGACTGTAGTGCCCACTAACTCGTTAAATACAAACCAAGAGTTTTGCAGTTCTGGATATGCTAGAAAGAATTCAAATTATACTGTCAAGAAAAGGCATTCCTTGCCATTCACTGCTGTCATTGATGGAATGCTCTAGGACAAACAATGTTTCATTGAGCAGATCTTATCTGGTTACGGGAAAAGGATGACATTGCTTCACATACATTTGTTGTGCTGTTCCCAGGTAAGAGCAGAGCAGCATAAACAAAGTGCACTAAACGTTTTTTTTTCTGAATAAACAGGAAAAAACAGTATCAAGACACCAAGTCACGGTACAAGAAAGACCTACCATAGCCATGCAGTCTGTTCTGTTTATCTAAAAAGCTTAAAACAGCCAAGATGGGCATGTCTGTAGTAAGCTCATTTATGCCACTGGAAAAGGGTTGGAAGAGAAAGGAAAAAATTAAAACTAAATTCAAAGCAATTCTTTCCAGCAGTGGGAAAATGCCATAGGATCAGTCCAGGAATGTGAAACAAATTTAACATGAATGCAGAGCTCACCGTTCCAAGGCTTATTTGCTCACTTAAGAAATACATTTGCAATCATCTTACCTCTACATCCTGCTTGTTAGCTAACACCAGAATGGGAACCCCTTCCAGGGCTTCGCTGGTAATCATCTTCTCTATAAAGCACAGAAACAAAACCAGAGGTTTAGCCAGATAAAGTTGTGCAAATGCCTGACCCAGACTACCTGGACATAGAGATGAAGCAAGAGGCTCCTTGCATTTCAGTTTCATAAGATAAAACCTTTCAGGTCTATTTTCTTCACAGAATTTTTTTCCAGATCAAACTCAAAACTTTATTTTGAACAACAAGCATGTTACTGAGAATTAATGAGGTGATAAATATAGAATAAGGAATTAAAATTTCAAAGTCATTAGCATAAGCACAAAAAGAGAATCAAGGGCCTTATAGGCAACAAAAGTGAGTCCTGTGTTACAGACAAGAGAGACTTCAACAAAAAAAGCGCAAAAGCATTACAGATGTGTCATCAACAGGCCACACAGCTTACTTCAAGGACACAGGAACAGACCTGACAGTAGTGAGAGAACTGTGCCACAATACACCATGAAATCACAGTACAGGTGAAACACAATGTACTCACCAAAAGCTCTTTTAGATTCTGAAAGCCTCTCCTCATCAGTGGAGTCAATAACATAGATCACTCCATGAGATTCAGCATAATACTGAAAGAACAACACAGATATTAGTGTATCTGTCCGCTAGGACCATTTGTTCCTCTTCCACGTGTATCAAAATTTTACCAAATTAAAAAAAATTCAGGAAGAGATCAACCAGTTAGAGCCAGCTGTTTCCACAGTACACATCTGGAGAGAAGAATGGTGGCACACAGAATGCATTGCCTGTTCTGTTTGCAGGCCTACGGAATACAACGGGTGAAAAAGCTTATCTGTCCCCCCAAAAAGCTCATCTCTACTGGCACAGCCCTCCGATATGGGTTGGTATTTGCTGTCTGTAAACAATAATGCAAATATTAAGTATTATCTTTGCTAATCTTGCACAGATAGAGTTGAAACTCTGGAAAAGTGTTGATGCTAAATACTAGAGTTGCCAATAAGCCTATATGATTACTAAATGACCATACTGCTTCAATTCTAAAAGAGACAAAAATGTTTCTGAAAGAAAACAAATACATCTCCAACCTTGTCCCAAAGAGACTGTAGTTCCTCCTGTCCGCCAAGATCCCAGAACATTAGCCGAGTTTTGCCAACATCTATAGTACCAACTAGAGGGAAAGAAGAAAAGATGATCCAATGAAAACTAAAGGTGCTCTCTAAAGCACAAACACCTGCACACACCCCCAAGAAATCTGGGGTAGAACACTCTTCTAGAGGAACAAATCACATGCAGTGGCTACCTTCAACAACAGAACAGTATCTTCACAAAGAGTGACCACTAATATCAGACAGAGTCATATCAGTGCAAATAATAGCAGAAGCAGGCCAACGGATGAACTCTAGTGAAATTTAGCTTAACCTCAGAGCATAGCACTGAAATGGGATACTTGTTTTTTAAGACTTCAGGGTTTTTTTTCCTTATAAGCTAAGAAAGCTTATTTTATCCTCTTAGGAATAGACAGGAAGAGCTGGGAGATACAATCTCTGCTTCCAGGAACTATTCTGCCCTTGTCAGTTCTTAAATATTTCAAAGAAGAACGAACTGTTGTCTAACTGTGGAGGAAAACTGAAAAAATTCCAAACATATTTACTTACTGTTTAAGCCTACAGTGGTTGTGATTTTGGACAAACTCATCCCTTTGTAGTTCTTGTTAAATCGAGTTTTAGTTTGTTCAAGGAAGGTCTGAGAAGGAATAAGAAAAAGTATTTACTCTCAAATATTTTACGGGCTGGGGTAATCCTAACCTAAAGCCTTTTCACTTCTGCAGAATCCTGCTCCAACAGGTAATGCCCTACCGAACCTTGGAACAAACCACTCTTCTTGTCCCCTATTTTAGCAAGGAAAGAAGGGATCACAGGTGATTACGGGATTACTAAAGCCTCAGCTACATCCGTGAAAGCTTATGCTAAATTTAAGTAAGAGGGAAAAGTTGATTCTTTGCTGTGACATCACTAAAATAACTCATGATACAGCTCAAGAAAGACTGACCTGTCTGTTCAAAGTTTTATCTTTGGAGGATGTTTATAATTGCATGTGCCCTCCACGCAATTGGTAATAAACAGCACTTACAGTTTTACCAGCATTGTCCAAACCAAGGATCAAGACGCAGTACTCATCCCTCTGGAACATGTATTTATAGAGTCCGGACAGCAGAGTATACATCCTGCTCCTGCAACACGTACCAGGAAATCATTAACAAACAGGTCATTTCCAAAAGTTCCACAACGCAAGTTTTTCCCAACACGACATACATAAATGACGTTATTCTTTTATCAGTAACTGTAATATTTAGGCAATCTCAGGACAAATCGCGGATCCAAGAGAGATGATACAAATAGCTCAAGGCTAAATTTTGAAATGCATCCAAGTGAGGGATTATCTCCCAAAGAGCTTAACTTCTGTTTCTGCACACAGTGCCCAGCATCCACTGCAAACTCAACCCTCATTTGAAAAACTACCCTGTCTGCTTTGGGGCTTAAAGGAGAGCTAAAGAAGAGCTTGAACATCTTTTGCGGTACATGTAAGACTCATAGAAAATTAAGTCACCTATTCTGTGTATTTGTATGAAGTTATTTTGAACAAGAATGTATAGGCCAGTCCCCCACCTCTTTGTTCCAAATCCATATAACAGTTATCTCATTATGGGATCTTTAATGGTTGAACTGACTGCAGTCTATCTTGAAGGCATATAAACTCCTCTACTTATCTTAAGCCCTATCCAGCAACAATCTTCTGTTATGGTATCCACCATACAAGTATTTTGTCATCTTACAATGCCAGGAAGACAAGACAGGTAAGTTAACTAGCCAAAAGCACAAGACTAAGAATCAGACAAAGTGACACCAACACCTGCGGAACCCCACACTTTTTTTGCTGTTGGATTTGCACAAACAAGGCAGAGACGATTTGCTAAGATGCAGGAAGTATTGGTACCAAGCGCGACAGCTGACTCACATAACATTGCAACAACTCTTCTGTTTAAATACAGACAAAGGGAACCTCAAGGCAAAGACTTTGAGAGGCCACTGTCTTTCAGCAAGTGTGCAGATAAATAATCACTTTGAAGTCAAACAACACTACCTAAAGGAAAAAAGAAAAGGGTTCCAGACCAGAAGTAAGGCATTTCTCAGGCTGAGGCACTCAGCATGAGGACAGGGCACCTCAGGGTGCAGGGGCTTTACCCACCACCGGTACCCGCCGAGCGAGCGGGGCGCTTCACCTCCAGCTGTGCAAGAGGCGCAGGCTCACGCCGTCCCCCGGGAAGGCATCGAGGCCGCAGGCTGGGGACAAAACCCCCGGCCCGCTCCCCTTTCGGGCCAGCAAGTGATCCTAGGCGTGCCCAACTACCGGTCCGCTCCCCCTAGACCCGGGAGATCCCTCGCCCTGCTCCTTCCCCTTCCACAGCCTGACAAGGGAGAAGGGGGAAACCGACCCT